CGGTCTGTTTCCTTCAGTTCTCGACCTTTCTGTCCCTGCCCCAAGCCTCCCCATTCCCAGACTCCTCTCTTCACCTCCCCAGCTCCACGCCCGAACTAAAAAGCCGGTTGCCTTCGGCCGGGCGGGAGCAAAATTCCTGGAGCGGGCCAGTGTAGACCGGGTGGGCACCTCAAACATTAGCTCGGCCCCGCACTGCTGATAGGCGCAGGCAGGACCGTCCCTCCGCCGTGGGCTGGGGCCTCCTGATTGGTGCGCAGCCACGTCACTCTCGGCGGGCGAAGGGGCGGAGGAGGCGGAGGCGGGGAGGGCTGGAGAGGGTTGGAGAGAGCCGAAGCGGAGTGACGTCTCGGCCCTAGGAAGCCCGCCTCCGTTTTAAGATGTTAGGCCAACTGGGAAGCGCAGAGCCGCAGAGCTGGTCGGGCGCTAGTCTGCGTGCCGGGAGCTGAACTGCGGCCAGAACGGGCTCGAGTTCGACGGGGCGAAGGGTGTGCGTGTGCGTGTGCGCGCCGCTCAGGGTGCTCCCAGAGGCCCGCGCTCCGCCGCCACCGCCGGGGATCTAATATCAGCTACCTGTCCTTGTCACTCTTGACACTTCGCCGTCAGGGCTGCCGCGTGGGGGGCGGGCTGAGCTGGCCTTTCGGAGCGCGATCGGCGTTAGCTTTCCTTATTGGAGGGGTGCTCCGGGGAGGGCGGGAGAGAGGCAGGGGGTCTTTGCCCACTCTCCTTCCTCTTTGGAGCTTGGAAGCCAGCTCTCCGAAGACGCGCCGAGCAGTGTCCTCCTGCCCACATCCCATGTCTCCGTGTGACCGCTGACTTTTCGGTCACCGGACTTTTTCCACTTGAGCCTACGGGGACGCGGGGCGGCTCGATTGGAAGACCCGGCGCCGGTTGCCTTTAGGACTGACTGTGCGCGTCGCTTGGCTCCGCCCGCGGCGGCCACTGCGGGGCAACTCGGCGCCCAGAGCGCCACCGGGGCGGGAGCCTTGCACTCGGAGGCGGCGCGCTCCCTCGTCCATGAACTGCATGAAAGGTCCGCTGCACTTGGAGCACCGAGCCGCAGGGACCAAGCTGCCGGCCGCCGCCTTGTCTTCCTCTTCTTGTCACCATCCCCAGCCGCTGCCCATGGCTTCGGTCCTGGCTCCCGGGCAGCCCCGTTCTCTGGACTCCTCCAAGCACAGGCTGGAGGTGCACACCATCTCCGACACGTCCAGCCCCGAGGCCGCAGGTAAGGCGCCACGCCGCCCCAACCCAGCCTCCCGGCGCCACTGGACGCCGCGCGTCCGTCGGTCCCCGCTGTGGGGGCGTGGTGGGAGCGGGCGTCCAGCTCGTGGTCCCGGGTTCTGATAGATACCCCACCCCCTTCCCTTTCTGCCTTGGCTGGGTGGCCCGGCTCAGGTGGCGCAGGCAGTTCTGCGGCCCTTCTGTTTGCTGGGTCGCAAAAACCAAAACAAACCCTGTCTATTCGAGGACACTCAGAGGGCGTCCGTCCGGTCCCAGCTGTTCTCTCGCCTCTCAACCTCAAATAGCTCCCCTCGTTTGCAAAGTACCTATAAAACCCCGTCTCCGAAATGTTCTTGGCCAAGAGGTAGTTGTCCCAAAGGGCCAGCGGACTTGGGTACCTAATGGAATCCCAGCGCCTGCATTTTTCTAGCCTCCCGAAGCCACATCGCAATCAGAGTTCTACCAAGTTCTACGTGTGTGTGTATGTCCAGGAGAGCTGGTGTGTCTGCGCAGGTGTAAAAATATAGTTGGAGGCTCGGGCTATAAAACCGTCTGTCCCGCGGAACGGAGATAAACATGTAAATAAAGCGTGCGGCGCTGGGGGAGGGGAGGGAACGGACGCGCGCGCTCACCCTCGTCCGGACACCCTGCCGCCACGGGAGGCGCGCTCTTGTCCGGGGAGGCGCCCGATTCGGCCGGGACCTCCGCTACCCCGGCCCAGGTGCACTTGGCGGGTTGCACTTGACAACGCTGACGGGGACCCGTGTGTGTTTCGTTTTCAGAGAAAGACAAGAGCCAGCAGGGGAAGAATGAGGATGTGGGCGCCGATGACCCATCCAAGAAGAAGCGGCAACGGCGGCAGCGGACGCACTTCACCAGCCAGCAGCTGCAAGAACTAGAGGCCACGTTTCAGAGGAACCGCTACCCGGACATGTCCACGCGCGAAGAAATCGCCGTGTGGACCAACCTCACAGAAGCCCGAGTCCGGGTAGGAGCCTGCGCGCACGTACGGACTAAGAAAGGGCTGCGGGGAGCCGCCGGGCAAAGGCCGGAGGCCCCTCAGTGGCCGGGGTTGGGAAGGTTGCAGCTCCGATTCCCAGGCCTGGCGGTCGGCCCGGCGCTGCACCCGAGCGGCCCGGGGCCCACTGGCCTCCCCAGCCCGCGCTCTCCGGGGCCGCGCCGCGCGGGCATTTCCCAACGCAAGGCGTTGTGCCTGGGTTTGCAGTCGCCCAACCAGGAGCGGAGAACAGGCTCCAACCTGCGCGCCTCTAACCAGGAAACCCCGCCAGCGTCACGAAAGGCTTGGAAAAACCTTCCGGCAAGCACGCTCTGGGTTTTCCTCCTCTCAATTTGTCCTCCCGACACGGTCTTTATTGCGGCGTTTCGGCCATTCAGGTCTCACCCACACCCTGCTTCCCTGGTTTTGTCATCTCCGGAAGGAAATTTTAAGTACACAAAGCCCTATTCTGCTCGCTTATTTTTTTAGGGGGGGGGGAGAAAAAAAGAGGGAAAGAAGGAAGGAAAGAAAAAGCAGTTTTCTGTTCGATTTGTTTATCTTTTCTCAGGAGTTACACACTTTGGAATTTGTTCCTTTCGCCCTTCCTCCTAACGATAATCACAGTTCTATTAAAAAAAAAAAAAGACTTACCTTAGCTTTGCAGCAAATCTGTTCTTTATAGATTGGCCCCCCAGAAAGTTAGCTTAAATGAATTACCCAATAGCAACATCCGGGTTTGTGCCGGTCGGTGGAAAATTCCAAATTTGTTAGGATTCTGGACGCAGAAAATAAGACTCTGGCTTTGTTGGTGATGGTGTGTGTGTGTGTGTGTGTGTAGCGCTGTGACGAGTGAAAAAAAAAATCTCCAGTTAGGTCAGAGAAAGCAGAGAAAAAAACAAAATGGAATAATAACACTGAAAAGAATTAAACACCAACATGCATTCCCAAAGGCAGAGAACCTAGGCGCTCTGTGAGTGGCATTTGTGCAGGGCGCGAGTCTAGGTTGGTGGATAAAAGCGGGCTCGAGTTTGGAAATGGTTTTAGTTTAACTACGAACCAAAGACCCCGGCTGCGGCCGCGTGGTTTTGCGCAAGGTCAGTCTTTCATTAGCCCAGGGCTCTTGAGGGGAACAGGCCTCTCACGTACTCTTCTCGCTTGAGCAAAGTTTAGAGGGCCTAGAGTGGAAAATGGAGAGTAATTAAAATAAAAACACAATCTTGGACTCTCAAGAATCCTTCGGAAAAGGCCTCCTCCCCCCACCGCCCCCGCGCCACTACCACCACATTGGGCTTGTCTGCATCCCCTTCCTGGCCCCGGGCCGCTGCCGCCGCCGTGCTGGATTCTCGCTCGCAGCGGCTGTCTCTTTTCAGGCCTGCTGCCTGCCCAGCCTAGTGGGAGTGAGGCGCGCTTTTTATAGCAGTCGGGTGCAAAGAGGAAAGGGGCTAAAAAGAAAACCAGAATAAAAAGGAAAGGGGCGGGTGCTGGGAGGGGGGTCGACGGATTAGTCGTCTGGACCTGGCAGTGATGTGTAATGTGAAACATCACCGATGTCAGCTCGGAGATCTCGGGCCAGGCCTCGTTCCAATACACAAAGGTCGCCGTCTGGGCCCAACGGCGGGCCGATGTGGATTGGGAGCGGGGTTGCGGTGGGGCCCCGTGTCGCGAGTGGGGGCTGGCGGGCCGACCTTACAGGCAATGCGGGGTCGAGCCCGAGCCCGGCGGGAGCACTGGAAGGCCGAGGTCGGGCGGGCGGAGGTAGGAGGAGGCTACCGGAGCCACCCGCTCTGGGTTCCTGAAGATTTACACGCTAAGCTCCTGGAATTTAACGAGCTGTCAGGGAGGTGGTCTTTTTGTTTTTTATTTGGTTGTTTTGCTAGGCGAGGAAAGGGGCGGAGGCGGGGTGGGGGGGACCGTGCTGGTTGGGGACGCACTCTTCAGTAGGCTCAGTCGAGGTCCGGAAGGAGAGGGAGGAGATTTGTGGGTAAGAGAACGGGCCGCCGGTGGCCTCCAGCATCTGTCCTCTTTCCTGCACGTTTGCAAGGTGACCCGGTCGGAGTTGGGCAGAGAGCTGGCTGCCCCGCGTTTATTTGCCAGCAAAAGTTTGGAGACCCAGAGGAGGCCCTGGGTTGGTGATTTAGGAACCTTCCACTGGGTTTGCGGAGCCACTCAGAGGCAGGGACAGCAGCGCGGTACTGGGGGGACGGTGGAAGGCTGGTTGGAGTGAGTGGAAGGGCCGTGAGGGTGTGGATGTGTTGAAGGGGTGGTGGTGGTGACTTCCAGTGCTTCCTGGAATATAGATTTGACTAATATTCGCCGTGTCGTTTGTTTGCTTCTTTGTCGCCTCCTCCACCCCACCCCACCCCCACCTAGGTTTGGTTCAAGAATCGCAGGGCCAAATGGAGAAAGCGAGAGCGCAACCAACAGGCCGAGCTGTGCAAGAATGGCTTCGGGCCACAGTTCAACGGGCTCATGCAGCCCTACGACGACATGTACCCGGGCTATTCGTACAACAACTGGGCCGCCAAGGGCCTGACATCGGCATCCCTGTCCACCAAAAGCTTCCCCTTCTTCAACTCCATGAACGTCAACCCCCTGTCGTCGCAGAGCATGTTCTCCCCGCCCAATTCCATCTCGTCCATGAGCATGTCCTCCAGCATGGTGCCCTCGGCGGTGACGGGCGTTCCGGGCTCCAGCCTCAACAGCCTGAATAACTTGAACAACCTGAGCAGCCCGTCGCTGAATTCAGCGGTGCCGACGCCTGCCTGCCCTTATGCGCCGCCGACTCCTCCATACGTTTATAGGGACACGTGTAACTCGAGCCTGGCCAGCCTGAGACTGAAAGCAAAGCAGCACTCCAGCTTCGGCTACGCCAGCGTGCAGAACCCGGCGTCCAACCTGAGTGCTTGCCAGTACGCTGTGGACCGACCTGTGTGAGCCGCACCCGGAGCACTGGGATCCTAGGACCGTGACGGATGGGGCTACTCCGACCTTGAAAGACTGGAAATTATGCTAGAAAGTCGTGGGCGCTAAAGAGATGGAGGGGAAGAGAAGCGAGAGAACAGGAAACCACTGAATTCTAGAGAGCTCCTTTGATTTCAAAGGAATTTCCTCAGTGTCTAACATCTTCACTGAAAGCATCTCCAACAGTTGCCAGGACACACACAGTGTGTGTGTGTGTGTGTGTGTGTGTGTATCTATAAATGCGCTCTCTCACACACACACATACACATGGATATTTGACTGGATATGACATTTTAACATTACTATATGCTTGTTATTTTTTAAGTTTAGCATTGTTAACATTAAAATGACTGAAAGGATGTATATATATCGAAATGTCAAATTAATTTTATAAAAGCAGTTGTTAGTAATATCACAACAGTGTTTTTAAAGGTTAGGCTTTAAAATAAAGCATGTTATACAGAAGCGATTAGGATTTTTCGCTTGCGAGCAAGGGAATGTATATACTAAATGCCACACTGTATGTTTCTAACATATTATTATAAAAAATGTGTGAATATCAGTTTTAGAATAGTTCCTCTGGTGGATGCAATGATGTTTCTGAAACTGCTATGTACAACCTACCCTGTGTATAACATTTCGTACAATATTATTGTTTTACTTTTCAGCAAATATGAAAAAAAAAACGTGTTTTATTTCATGGGAGTAAAATATACTGCATACAAACTGGTCTGGAGTTTTCTTGCCCTCAGTCGCCTTCCTGGGGCTGCTCAGCCACTATGCCTCCTAAACAAACCAGTCCCTTCTGCCTGTCCAGTTAAACGCACAAGGCAGCAGTGCTTAAATTTGGTGGAAATAAATTATAGTCACTCATCAGAAACTTTACCAAAGACACTCCTAGGGGGAAAACAAGCGCCTGGTCTTGTCTCAGATTTTTCTTTGGCTTAAACCCAGAAGATCCCATGATTGCAAACCAATAATATAAGAGGAAAGCAGGAAGAAGGGGGGAACTTTAGAAAGTTAGCCAACTTAGAATGACTCTCAAGTTTATTTCTTTGGCGGGGGAACCCAGCATCCCCAGTCAATTGCTTTGGAGAAGTATGTGTGTACCGTTTATATACATTCCTCTTAAGAGAAATAGGTTTATAATAAGTTTACAAGGAAACACCTCCAGTTCAAAATATTTAGGCCCCACGTTTATCTTTCAGGCTTAAGTAGGGAGATCCTTCATGTTATATGGCATTACTATTTCTAAATCCGTTTGAGGCATTAAAAGAAGCAAAGAGCATTTCTGTAACCACAGCCCTTCGGTTTCTCCAAGAGCCCAGAGGCTGAGAGGTTAGAGTGGAGTTTCCTGAATCTGGTCAAGTAATATGTGGTTGAGGCAAAGGTCATGCTCCCCCTGTTTTGTTTTAAATAATATTGACCCATCAATTCTAAACCTGCTTGTTCCTGAAATTATACAGGATTACAGTTTGCCAACCGTGGGACAATAAAGCAAATCAAGATGAATTACAGCCAGGGGCCCTTCCTCCCATTCTTTGACATCCAAACTGGGAATGAAGTCTGAGTAGTTTAAAAGAACTTTTAAATCTTTGCTGGGTTTCAATCTTTACATATGTATATGCATTTCATTTTGTAAAATAGCAGGTACTGGTTTAGCTTCAAAGTATGCATCAACGTGGCGCTGGAAGTGTGGTGAGTGCGGAGGCCTTTTGTTACTTTTGTCCCTCCTGCCTCCCCCGGTGGGCGCGGACACACGCCACCCTGGGGGCATGGAGAGCGAGAATTACACGCCGCTTTCCTGGAGCCGAGAAAACCCGTGTTTTTGCGCTTAAGGTAGCTTTTATCTGACTGTAGCCTTCCCTACAAGCCTTTGGAATCCAGGCACCGAGTCTTTGTTGTGCAGGGCAGTGGGCTGCCACTGAGCGAGATCACTTATATCTGTACCGGATGGAAGATCGCGCGCTGACTCACGCACGTTAACTTTGGTTGGTTATTTCTTTTGAAAGCACTGTTTTCGACCTGCAGTGGGATCACGCGGCCGTGGTGGTGGTGGTGGTGGTTGGGGGGGGGGTAGAGGGGGAGATAGAAGCCCTTTGGACGAGGGTCACCTCTGTTCTTGTTGTTCACTTGAGAGCAGTGGAGAGGAAAGCGGTTCCCACCGGTGGACTTTGAAGCGATGGGGCCCTCGGTCCCGGTCTCCTAGAGCCTCCACACACACACACCCCCGGGAGCAGGGGGAGAGAGGGGGGCGGATAGAAGGCTTGGTGAAGGGGCTGGAGACTCGATCCAGACCTGCCGACAGGATCTGCGGTTCCTGCAGGTCCCAGGATGACTTGGGGGCACTGAAAAGAGAAGGTGGCTCGCGGCCTACTTGGGTGGCTGAAATAAAAGTCTACTCGAGGAAATCCATCCATCCGCAGGAAACAAAAAATGGGAGTCGAGACTCTGGCCGTTGTCACTTCCCCCTACCAGAGCGGTGCCGCCTGGGGGGCGGAGACTCGGGACCTGGAGAGTCCCTTTCTCCCACCTCCGCTCCTTTCCTAGGACTTCCCGCGGGAAGGAGGAGACCCTGGCCTCGCCCTCGGCTCGCGGGCCCCAGGCCGCCTCTCTCTCTTTCTCTCTCTCTCTTACCCCTTCGAGCGACAGACGCTTAGTTCCCGCGCTGGAGAAGTCAGCCCCCTGGGTCCCGCCCGCTCCCACGCCGGTCGCCCTCCAGTCATGGCTGCCACCACCTCGGTTCCACTCAATCGATTTTTGCTGCATGTCAACACTTATTACCGGTGAGTGTGAGGGTACTTTCTCGCCTTCTCTAGGTCTCTTAATGATTTCTGAGCTAGTTGTGTATTAAAGTGCTTAGAGGAACCTTTAAGGTAATCTATAGCATGAACGCCATCTGCCTCCGCTTGGGTTCAAAGATGGCGAAAGGGGTCCCAACCCACCACCGCCCACCTTCCTGCGCGCCCACAGGGACCCCGCACCCACCCTCCTCGGCGTGGGGTGGGGGCGCCTCCCCGTCACCTGTTTCTCAATTGTACCTTCTCTTCCTGTCTCTCTCCAGCCTTTCTTTAATTATTATTTTATGATGATGATGATTTTAAACGTTTCAAGGCCCAAACTCTTCATTCCCCAAAGACCGAATTCGGGTTAGGTGGAGACCTGGGAAAAGAATCAGAGCCCAAGTGGGTTTCCTTTCAGGCCCACGATCTGAGTTTCAGCGTCCGAAAATTAGCTAAAAATTAAAGAATGATTTTTTAAAAATAAGCTACTGGGTAGCCTGGTCCCTGCAGGCCGTTTGATTAGGAGCTGATTTGTCGCCGCCAGCCTGGTTCTTTCTCCCTCCCCACCCACTTCCTGCGAGGTGCCGCAAGTCCACCACAGGAATCCCTGTAAGAGGGTAACAAAAAATTAATGAGGCCAAAATAAGCCGCGCCTTAAAAAGTCCCAATATTCGTCAACAGTGTCATACATAACCCCGTGCGGAAGGACGAGCTCCTGGAAAGCGAGTAATGTTTAAAGATTCGGCCTGATCTCCAAGGCCGACCCACTCCGCCGCCCAGCCCAGGTCTCCAGTGTTTCCAAACAAAGGTCGGTCTTGCAATCCACATCCGAATCCACTGATCCCCAGCAGCCGCCGGACTGGCTCCCCGACCTCCGGCCGCCAGCGAGGGGAGCGGCTCGGGGGCAGGCGGCAGTCCCCACCGCCCCGATTTATGGTGATTAGAGAAAGAAAGGAGGGGCTGTAATCAGATCAGAGGCCTTTATGAACATAGACTCCCGATTGATTGATTTCTAAAACCCCTGGCAAGGCAAACTGCAGTTAATCTAAGCACGTGGGAAGCCAGAAACGTGGCTGACAGAGGGGAGGTGGTCAGGTAAATGGGAATACTTTCTGGTAGCAGATTTTCAGAAGAATGAATCTCTCCTAGCTCAGTCTGCCCCATTTCTGACAGCTGCATTTTAACTGAATCTCATAAAATCATTCAAGGTAAGATATATATAGATATGGATATATATTACAAACACGATTGTAAACACATAGTACCGTTTTAGGATTTGGCAGAAATCTTTCACTGAAAATCTAGAAAGTAATTTTTTTTTTTTTAGAAAATGAATTTTCATCCTTAACCTACCACCACCAAGGAAGAAGCTGAGGTAACTTCCTACCTGAAAGAATCGAAAACCGAATCGACTGTGTTTAACGTGCATAACTTCCTTCACGTTGTTGTTGAGTATCTTACACATTTTATACTCGTGTTGATTTTAGATGTTGTCTGAAGTTTAGAGAAGGCCTGCAAGAAATAGATAAATTGGTGGATGGAGAAGGGGGGTAATTCCAATGAATTAACTTTAAAGGAAAACTTTGAAATCTGTTAGATATTTATGTGGCCAGTAGTGGAAAACGAGATAATTGTACTCAAGTCACTTTGCTGAGGAATGGCCAAAAGGACCATGGAACGTCCTTGAAAAGATTGTAAATTTACATTGAAAAACTTTACAATGATATTTGAGGAATGCATGATAAAAGGTTCATTGAAGATGGTACACAGGCATTACATCTTACCAAGGCTATTATTTATTTCTCCCCACAGAAAGGCTCAGAGCAGTGCACACTCCTGACTATTGGGCCTTCTTAGACTGTGTGTGTGTCTTCAACTCTGGAGACTGATGGATCTTTCTAGACCTGTTTCTCCCATTCCATTCTGCGGGTAAAATACGCATAAGGTGTTTCCCCACCCCCTCTCGCGCGCCCTGTCTCCCTCTCCCGTTTTCATTATCCGCAGCAATGTGTTGGGTCAACTCGGAAAATAGATCTTGCTCGATTATGGGCCCTAAGGTACCAAGATTAAGTCCTGGGGGCAGTTTCTTAGAACCCCTGAAACTCCCTCTGACCCCACCCCCAGGTTTTCCTTCCGGAAGTAGCCTAGTGTCTCCGGGACAGTTCGCTGCTGCATGGACTCCCTCACACGGTCGGGGCAGGAACCTTTCTGCTGGATGCTCTAGGGCCAGGAGACCTAAAACCGTGACGACTGCTCCCCACCCCCCACCCCACCCCCCGAGAAAGCGGTGTGGCAGTGTGGAATGTGACTTAGAATTCACAATAGTGGCAGTCCAGGACTTAAGGCGCGCTCCCTGGGGCTGAGTCTGTCAACAGCCCCTTCAGACCTGCTTCTCCATGCCGGTGTCTGGTGGAGTTGCTGCACCCAGCTGGAGCTCATGCTGAACGGACTGGTGTCACTGCAGGTGGCTGCTTGCACGTCTCTGACCTTGAGTCTTCGGGCCAGATGTGGACTAAGAATGGGGACCCAGGTGGAAGACCCTGCAGGCCCTCCAGGGGCTAAGGAAGAGGCTTTTGCCTGCTAGAGCCAGCAGGTCCCGTGGTTAGAAAAAACAAACAAACAAACAGGACTTCAAGAAAAAGAGTAAAATAAAAACCTTTCTGGTTGTGGGTGCAGGCACCCATGTTGTTCTTTTCACAGGGCTCTACTGACCTCAGCGCCACTCCAGCCCCTGGAACCTCTGAAGTCCAGGGAACTACTCTTATCTGATGAGGCTCTGTCTTGTTGGTCCTTTATCCGACAAGAAAGATGAGGTGGGGGGAAGCTTAAAAACATTGCCTGTCAATGGTGGCCTACAAGTCTACAAGCTCGGGGTTCAAGCTCACCAGCAGGAACCCTGCACCCTCTGGCTTGGCCTAAGGGCACAGGGTAGGGGTCTGGATTCCTGATTTGGGCTACAGGGGTGGGAGTGGGGCACCCACTCCCCTTGAAACTGCTTCCAGGGGTAGCTGGGCCTCAAGTCTCTTTGGCCGCCTGCACAGTGGCTCTGAGGCTGGACCACAGCCTCATGGTAGTCCTGCTTCCCAGTGACCATAGCAGCTGCTTCATCTTAATAGTTTGTGGCCTGGCCCTGCAGGGGAGCCGCGGGAGACCCAGGTGCCTGGTGCCCTTAACCGGGCGGGATTGCCAGAGGCCCTTAAAGAGGAATCGTTGTGGCCAGGCCTGTCCTTGTACTCGCTGCCTGCGTTTCCTTCTAGACCACAGAGACGAAATCTAGCTTCTCACTGTCGCCAAGTTCCCACCGCCGCCGCCCGTGTCTCCCCAGCCCAGAATCACAAGCCCTTCGCCCCCTTCCCCCGCAGGGGCGCCGCTAATGGCTCTGCTCCACGATGGGGCAGCCTGCTGCTCCGGGCGGGGTCCCTGAGCGGCTGCAGCGTCGTGGGTGGTTAGAACCCAGAGGAGCCTTCCTGCGTCCCCAGAGATGCAAAGGTCTCTAGGTTCCCGTCCCCAGAGATGCAAAGGTCTCTAGGTTCCCGACCCACTGGACTGCCACAGGGGAAGGCCGGGGCGGGAGGAGCGCCACCACCCCATCCCTCCTCACCCAGTCATGGACCTCTGAGTCTTTCCTCTGGAGCGACCATAGTCCTTGAGTGGGTGCCTGCCTCGAGCTGCCTCTCAAAACCCAGGGGTTGAACATTAACTGGCTCGAGCTATAGAGTAGGGTAAAACGTTACATATAAAAATGAATCATCTATCCGATCCTGGGAGAGAGGACCTATAGCGAGCTCTGCGGCCAGCGCAGCCCTGGCATGGCCCCGGCCCAATGCGCCTACCCTCCAGCGGCCAGTGCTCAGAGACCATTGAGCTGCAGAAGGGCTGAGGGCGGAGGGATTGGAATGTACTGAGCCAGCTCATCCCCTGGAGTGGGGTGAAGACCTGGGAGAGCGAATTCCCTTTCATCTCTTTACAAGGTCAGTAGAGGCAGTCCTCTTTGTTGGAACCACTCCCAGGGCAGAGAGTGGCCACACTGGGACCAAATGAATGACTCGGTTGCCAGTGGACCCTGGTGCTGGGCCCAGGTATGCAGCTGGTAGGCATTACACATGGGAAAACCATGTGTGAGACAGTATGACCAGGTTCAGCCTGGCCCAAGATTGACACCACTGAAGCTCTGGTACTGGACTTGCTCTCTGCGGGTCTGGACCCTGCCTCTTTCTGACACTGACCTACTTGTTTGAGTAAAATAATATGTAATTAAGCATAAGTGTCAGCTCTACTTCTGCCCTGACATGTGCCAGTCATGTATACAAAAACAGCCCCAAACAACGCACTGCCATTAAATCTATGCTGACTCAAAGCAACCCCATAGGGCAGGGTAGAACTGCCCCTGTGTTTCTGAGGGGCTCGTTCTCTTCAGGAGTAGAAGGCTTTGTCTCCTGAGGATCAGCTGGTGGTCTCAAACTGCTGACCTTGTGGTTAGCAGCCCAAAGAACAACCACTTTGCTACCCGGGCTCCTTGGTCACGTGTACACAACCTTGAAACCATAACGACCAAAGGAAGAATTCAATGTAGTGCACCCCTGTGTTCCTACTTCTTCACCTGGGAAGCATTAGCAGCTCAAAGGGAGGGGCAAGCCTCTGAAGAAGAAACTCATTCTGTCTCCCTTCTTTGCCCTTTTGCCCTTTTCTCCCCTCCTCCACATATGGGAAGAAATGAGATAAGGTGGGTGCAAACAAGAGAAGGCTGTGATGCCACCTAGGGCTTAGAAGTTGCCAACCAACATGAACACATCGTATACTTGGAGAGGATAAGTTTATTTCTTCAGCAAATTAAGTTGCTTTCCTCAAATGGATGTGCTGGGGCCATAATAATCTCTCAGTAAAAAAAATATTTTAAAAATCCACGCAGGTATCTTCCTCCTCTTGTCCCTACCTCTGATCCTTACATCGGAGTAGCTGAATTCTTACTGAGAACATGCTCCCAAATTTGTTACTTTGGGGTATGAGAAAGAGGTGCTGTATACCTCTGCATCTGCCCAGCACTCTCGGGGTCACACCTTAGGTTCTTCTGTGTGGTGGCAGGGGTGGAGGGTGATTCCAACTCAGCAGGGATCAACTCTGGTGAGCACTGTGTGCGCTCTATTACCTGGACATCCTCCATCCCTGTGGTCCACGAGAAGATGGCATTGATTTAGGACAGGATTAGAGTGTTTATGACTTGCAGTCATCCATGGCCTAGAAGGCCTCTTCTCAGCCTTGTGTTACTCCACTTCCCTCAAGAAAAACAGAGATGACTTAAAAGCTCTTCCGGTTAGCTTCAGAGACCCTGAACATGTCAGATCCAACAAATGAAAACAAGAAGGATGCTTTGCAGCACACACTCAGGTGCCCTCTAGTGATTTAGAAACAGGGAAACATAGGTGGAAAGAGGGTATTTGCCTTTAAAGGTGTGGGTGCTTTGAGGGGAGGGGCACCAGAAAGGGCATTGCAGCAGTTACTCAAGCGGTCTTCTCCCCCACCAAATTACCATGTTATCTGACACTCTCTATCTATTTGTGTCCTGGGTAACAGACAGTTTCACCAAGAGGTCACAGACTAGAGGACTTGGGTGACTGGAAACAAGTTTGACAAGAAAGGAATCCGGGTGGGAGCCTCTGTGGAGGTAGACAAAGGAAGAGGCCACAGTGGTTGGTGCCGCCTGGCAACACCACGTCCTCAGCCGGCCCCGGCAGCACATGAAATACATTGTCAGAGAACACAGATTCAAACAGCTATTAACACAACTCCATGGGTGAAAGAAATGTAAGTCTCTCTGTAGATCCTCTTTCCTTTACCTCCTTTATTTCCAAACTTGCCCTCTCCCACGCAGGTAGACCGTCTGCCGGAACTCTAGGTCCTCCGGCATTATCTTCCACTTCTCCTGTCTTGAGAAGCCCTGGCAGTGTAGTGGTTATGTGTTGGGCTGCTAATCGCAAGGTCAGCAGTTCAAAACCACCAGCTACTCTGAAGGAGAAAGAGGTGCTTTCTACTTCTGTGAAGAGGTACCTAGGCGGAACCCACAGGGGCAGTTCTACCCTGTCTGATAAAGTTCTGGTGAGTCAGAAGCAACGCCATAGCAATGAGTGAGTTTGTCTCCCCTTTGGAATTAAGGCTTCAGGTAATGTTTAATGCTTAGACTTTAACAATTGTTTTACCCAATCCATGTTTAACTGTAAACCATTTGGATACACAATTCTTTACTTCTGTGATAAAGGTTTCAGGACCAATTGCAAAGCATGTCATTCTGAACCTTTCTTTTCAGAGCAGGAGAGAGATTGTGCACATGCTCCAAATAGGTCCCACTGCACACGAGGTACCCCGGTGGAGCGGGTACAAGCTAGGCTGCTAATCACAAGGCCAGCAGCTCGAAACCACCCGCCGCTTCACAGAGAGAGACAAGGCTTTCTACTCCGGTAAAGAGTTACAGGCTGGGAAACTCATAGAGGCCGTTCTCAGGGTCGCAATTGATTCAGTGGCAGTGAGTTTGAGGGTTTTTTTGTTTGGGGGGTTTTCTTTTTGACTAGGAAGGCTCTGTGAGAGTACTCCACTCACTCTGGACAGCATTCCATTTAGCATTTTGACCCACAAAGTGGTCCTAGTTCAAGGTACCAGATTCACTTTGAAGCTTCTCCTTTACAGAAAGTGCTGCCCATGGGCTTGAACATTTTTTCAGAATTCCGTGTTCCATGAGGAACAGTTCTGGAATTGTTTTCCCGAAGAATGACTAATGGGATTGAAGTGCTGACATTGTAGTTAGCGGCTCACTTCATAATCTACTATGTCATTAGAGAGTGTTCTGGTGTCCTACAGCCCACAAATATTTTCATTAATTTACTTGTGACAAAATACTCCTAAGAGCACTTTGACCACTCTCACTTTCTAGCTGCAACTGTAATCAATAAACAAAACGCACATCACCAGAAACAGTGACAAGGGTTGCAGTGCTTTTTGTAAGATATCTATGAGACACTTGGTCTTGTTGGTATCACTGCCATCGAGTAGATTCCAACTCACAGTGACCCTATAGGACAGGGTAGAACTGCTTCTGCAGATTTCCAAAACTATAACTCTTTGAGAGGGTACAAAGCTTCGTCTTTCTCCTGCAGAACAGCTGGTGGTTAGCCGATCAGCGCAAACCAAGGGTCCTGGAATTAAATGTGTGTGTGTGTAATAGTTCACCCTATGCTCTATAAGTGGATGAGTAAGCAGATAATATATAAACAACGATGTAGTAAATGATGGGGGTTGGAAATGCAATGACGTGGGTTTTGCTGTGCCTGTAGAACTTGAACTTTCAAAGAATCCAATCCCTACTGGACAGTCAGCCAGCCAAGTGGTTTCTTAAAAGCATTCCAGGTATAGTCAGAAGGTTGGAAATCAAACAGCCAGGGGAGGGAAATGATTGAGAACTTGTGGAATGTGGTGTGGACAAAGGGATTGGACCATTGTGATCTACTGGTTTTCAGAAGTTGGTCACCAGGCCTTTACTCCTAGTCTATCTTAGTCTGGAAGCTCCACTCATGCCTGTTGAGCATTCAGAAGAATGTCCGCCCTCCCACCCCCCATAAAGCAATGGGATAATATTGTTTTCATAGTGTTCTTACTATGTTCTTTGCCTTTATTTTATACATAATCTTTCTAATATAACATACAATA